TAAAATGCTCAGCTCGAAATTCTCTGAAGGTTACATAGGTCGAGAGACACCTGAAGAAAGACGGGGAGCAAAAGGGTCGAAACGTTTGGATAGTAAAATAAATGAGGACATTAATCGAATTGTAAATAAAGTAAATAATTAGAGCTAACACACACACACACACACACACACACACACACACAAATATATATATATATATATAATTGCTTGAATAATAAGATCCTTATATTCGAGTTGTTGTCAGATGAAAGACACACGCCAAATTCAAATTGTCATCTTCAGAGCATAATTTTCCCATACACAAGCAAAGACGAAAATATGATTATATAGTCAATGTTATCGCAGGAGGATTTATTAATTACATATCTCAATTACCATTCACTGTAATTGTTAGAGATCAAGTGAAAAAGCAATGCGATTTTAGGTTAGCTAGGAAAATCTATATTAACGAGACACCCAGTGAGCAGCGAACTCGCTCTATAGACATCATTGTCTTAAACTACCTAGTTACCGCCATAGATAACAGACAAATAGATAATGGACAAACATAGATAGATAGATAGATAGATAGATAGATAGATAGATAGATAGATAGATAGATAGATAGATAATGAACAGGCTGAGATAGATAGAGAGAGAAAGGAAGAGAGATAAGATAATGGACAGGATGAGATAGATAGATAGAGAGATAGAGAGAGAGAGAGAGAGATAATGAACAGGCTGAGGTAAATAGATAAATAGATAGAGAGATAATGAACAGGCTAAGATAGATAGATAGATAGATAGATAGATAGATTGAGATAGACAGTTGACATACTGATATTAAGCGCGTTCCAACAAGTACCGCTTATGTATTATATATAAATAATATAGATAAAAAATACAAACACACTTACATATATATATCTATATATATATATATATATATATATATATACTTAGATATTAAATATATATGTATCCACACACACACACACACACACACACACACACACACACACACACACACACACATATATATATATATATATATATATATATATATATATATATATATACTGTTGGCTTATTTTTCAGTGGCTTGCTGAGAGGCATTTAAAAAAAAAGCAGGCTCAGTGGTAGAGTGCCCAATATTCAGTATCTGTGACTGAGTTTGAGCGTTCATAGAATTAATATGGAAAGGTCTTTTACTTTACGTGTGACTATTTTTCGTGTGACTATTTCTCCACTAATTCGGAGCGGAGTATTCGGACTATTCTGCAGAATTCTGTAGAATACTCCAACTCTCCGAAGTTAGCAAGATGGAAATACGGCTCAGTTAAGTGAAAAAAAAAAAATTCATATTATTAGGTTGGTGCAAAAATAATGACGTAATAATGTCGTTTTTTGATGTATTTTTTAACGTCGAAAAACGACATTGTTACGTCATTATTTTTTGCACTGGCCTAATAATTCTCTATCTGTCTGTCTTTCTTTCTTTCTTTCTTTCTCTCTCTGTATATATATATATATATATATATATATATATATATATATATATAGAGAGAGAGAGAGAGAGAGAGAGAGAAAGAAAGCTAGTGATAGATAGATAGATAGATAGATAGATAGATAGATAGATATGAATTTTTACATAGATAGATATGAATATTGAGATAGATAGAGAGAGAGATAGATAGATAGATAGATAGATAGATAGATATGAATATTGAGATAGATAGATAGATAGATAGATAGATAGATAGATAGATAGATATGAATATTGAGATAGATAGATAGATAGATAGATAGATAGATAGATAGATAGATAGATAGATGAATATGAATAGATAGATAGATAGATAGATAGATAGATAGATAGATAGATAGATAGATAGATAGATAGATATGAATATTGAGATAGATATGAATTTTGAGATAGATAAATAGATATGAATTTTGAGATAGATAGATAGATAGATAGATTTGTGTCCCAGCTTTTTTTTTAATGGCAAGAAGATAAGAACGCGAATGACACAAGAACTTTCCAAAAGCGACAGCCCGCACACACAAACACATCTAGATTCACGAACGGAGAGACACACCCGCATGAGTATACGCGGACACACACACACACACACGCATATTTATGAAATTGTATAAACAAACAGGTATATTCCGTAAACGGATAAATATAACTTCTTTAGAAAATGCTTCTTTACGATTTGGATATCGATATGGAGTCGAACGGATATCGGCTTGCGACGGGAAAATCTGACAGTGGATGTGCGTATTCCTTAAAAGGGGGGAAACAGAACCTTACTCTGATGCAATCTGGGACCAAGTGGAGTAAAGCCTGCAGGATCAGACGGCGATTTCTAATATAAAGTGGGGTGCAGATTCAAAATCACCCGGAGACCATTTTTTTTTTTAAATTAAGTTTTCAGAATGCACAGACCGATAGATGCAATACACATTGTTTAAAAAACGACACGTCTACACAAACACGGTTATCTACTAAAATACCATTTGAGGTAATAAAAACATCAGCTTAAAAATAAATCTATTTGTATATATATATATATATATATATATATATATATATATTCTACTACACCAATGTTTGAGTAGACGCTCTGTTTATTCAAATAGTCATGTGTCTTGCGACCTACGCATTCGAAATCCTTCATAAAGAAAGTCGTTTAAATTAATAATGTAGGATGAGAAATTACTATATATATATATATATATATATATATATATATGGGATATATATATATATATATATATATATATATATATATATATATATATATATATATATATATATATATACGCATAGACACATATATACACACACACATTTAATTGGTCAAGCCAAAGAATTTTACGCATCTCAGTGCGAAACAGATTGTCGCCTCTCAGGGTTCAGCTTTGCGCCTATTTTTCACACATATATATATATATATATATATATATATATATGTGTGTGTGTGTGTGTGTGTGTGTGTGTGTGTGTGTGTGTGTGCACAATATAAATTGTTAAGCATTTAACTGGAATGCAGTTCTGCCACACGCTTAGTAGGAGTTAGTAAATTTTACTTTATAGTGTACAGAAAGGAAGAAAAAGATTCAGATAGATAGATAGATATATAGATAGATAGATATGAACAGAGTAAAATAAGAAAAATATCGCCCGACGACAGTCGTGCAAATCGAACGGACTTGTCTCGATTTGATAGATCACTCATGTTATTAAATACAGTTTAGTTTAGCATAGTTAGACATAGGGTCACAGTAGAGAGCGCCTATCGCGGGCCGAACTCTTTACGGCAGAAGCAAGTACTGAGGTGAAGACTACTCGACACTGAGCATCTTTAATGCTTATACAGGGATGCGTTTGGACGCTGATACTTTTGTTAGTTAGTCGTGTGAATAATACGAATATGGCCCGATGTGCATCTATGAGATCGTGTCGCAGTGTTCAGTGTGTGAGTCTCTGCACAGGCTTCTTCTGTGTGCGTTTGAGCGCAGGCGCGTGCCTGTGTTATGTGTGTGCGTTTGTGCGCAGGCGCGCGTGTGTGCGCCGGCGCGTGCTTGAACGAGTGGGCTATTTCGTGCGACTATGCACAATAGAGAAGAGAATTATCAACAAAATAAAAATGTAAGGAAGTCGCTGGCTAGTCCCACGATTCGCTGAATCATATTGTTTACAGTTTTACGCTCAATAGAAACACAACCCTCGACATATCGGCAACGTTTTCGATCGTACGCACACACAGACACAGGTTTTCACCTACGTGCACACACACACACACCATAAAAAAATATAAAAATCTGTGCGATAAATATATATTTATTATTTCAACAAACATTACCTTTAGTGGATACTCGTCTTTTATTTTTAAGCAGTGTTTATTGCACCTACCGGTCTGCGCATTCCAGACAACTTGACAAAAACGTTATATATATAGCCTTAATGAAGTAACGGAGCCTGTATAAGGTTTTCATTAAGTTTTCTCGAATGTGCAGGTCGAAATACATTCTATTTAAAAATAATATAAATAAAAAAATGAAAACGAAGATGAGAACATTAAAACCCCGTGAAGCACTTAATAGACTTTTTGCATAGTTATAAAGGGTGTTCCAACAACTTGGACCGATTTTAAACTTAATTCACATTTAAAATCAGTCCAAGTTATTGGAACACCTTTTAAATCCGATATTTTTTTTAAGCATCTTTGTTGTTGTTGCTTTTGTTGTTGTTGCTTTTGTTGTATCTCTCTTTTTCTTTCTTTCTGTATGCGTGTGTGTACGTGTGCGCGTGTGTATGTATGCGTGTGGTTCTTTCTGATGTAAAATTTCTCGAATTTGGTATTGTGTACCAGCTACAAAAAAAAAAAAAGACTAAAATTCCGAATGGTATCCTAAAATTGTGCCAAATCAGGGATCGCTGACCAGCCGCTAAAAATTTACCGTATCTTAAAAAAATTTATTAAATTTGCGATCGCATACTCCAACCCTGTCACAAAAATCATACCCTAAAATCTGGAATAGCATATTGCTCCAGATCAGAAGTTGTACCAAACCCTATAATTTGTCTAATATGGGATCACATATTGTCCTCACCCCACACAAAATAACTACAGTCTACTAAAAATGAATGCAAATACTAGTATATCATTCGAGGGGATATTCCTTTCTTTAAAGATCATGAAGCGCCAACTGGTTTGGGTAAATATGCTGCCATTTGAATATAACCTATTTCTACCTGAAGTATGGTACCAATCCATAAGTGAATGGGAGAGAAAGAAATTTTATCTGCTATCGGATTAGGGATGAAGGGTTCAAGCCTTCAAGATTGGGATTCGAAATTTACTTAGAAAAGTTTTCTTACTTTTTCCGACGTTTTTTTTTTTGGGGGGGGGGTTGTTTGTTTTTTAAATTATATTGAATAAAAGTTGACATTTAAAAAAAATTATTGCATCTCAAGTGATTTTGTAACTGACAGAAGTCGTCGTCCTTTACATACATAGATAGATAGATAGATAGATAGATAGATAGATAGATAGATAGATAGATAGATAATGGACAGACTGGGATAGATAGATAGATAGATAGATAGATAGATAGATAGATAGATATGAACAGACTGAGATAGATAGATAGATAGATAGATAGATAGATAGATAGATAGATAGATAGATAGATAGATAGATAGATGCATGCATGCATGCATACAGCATTAATATACTGTGATATTTTTGATATACACGTTCGGTATACCCATCTTCAAGAAGAGGGTGTTACGATATCTCTTTCAAAAATATAATTTCTTTGGCTTAAATAAAGAAATAGAAAAATTCTCTACCGATAACATAACGAGAGAGTGAGAGGAGGAGAGGGGGAGAGTGAAAGAGAAATATGCAGAGAGATTTAAATTATAAGAGAGGGTGAGAAACAAATAAAGACATAAAAAGGGAGGGAGAGAGAGAGTGTGTGTGTAATATCAATTTTGTGTTGTTTGTTGAAACATTTTTGTTTTACACCTCGAAACGTAAGGAAGGCAATACCGAAAGACTGTAGTGCGTCATCTTCTCCGTGGTAACGGTTTGCTTGTCTTCAAAAACCATTATCGGAATTATTCGACTTCTGGCTGGGTTCGAACCCCGTCTGCTGGTTTCTCATAGGCAGCACTCATCTGTCGAACAACGTCAAAAGCATAATGGAATGTTACAGAATAAATTTTTTATTATTATTATTATTGTCACGGATTTGAAAAAAAAAATTGTACAATAATATATCTCGTTATGTTATCGATAGAGAATTTTTCATACATTTGGGAAAAAAAAATACTAGATTAAATTCTAGTCGGTTCGTGAATTTGGTGAGAGAGTAATTACGAGTTCAATCCCTGCGCCGGGCAGTGTATAGTTCGACTCAGGGCGAGCAATATTGTAAATAAGAACTAGACGAGATATCCCTATACATGTAGAACAGAAACAGTCTACCCACGTCGATTACATAAAGGGTTCAGTTTTGAATTCCTTGTAGATTGAACCGGACAGACATACGCTTAATAAAGGCCGGAGAGCATAGCGATCGATTGATAACAACAGATATGCGGCCAATAGTCCGAATGACACATTGATGAGTTTGACGATAAGTCCGCAAGTGTGGAACACGCGATGAGTTTTCGATAAGTATTGACACGAAAAATTAACTTAAATAACAACTAATTTGCTGCGAGGTGTTTCGGTCATCAGGTAAAAAACAGTACAGATGATGGTGTTACGCTTTGAAGAACCTGCACGATGAGTAAGGATGAAGGAACGGGCAAAACGGGACTTGGGACTTTTGCACATCGAAATTCAGTCTTGTATAGAGTGGAAGTGTATAATGTGTGTGCGTGCGTGTGTGTGTGTGTGTGTACGTGTGTGTGTGTCTGTGTGTGTGTGTGTGTCTCTCTGCGTGTGCGCGCAAGTGTTTGTGTGTGCGCGTGTGTAAGCACGCGTGTGTGTGTGCACGTGTGTGTTCGCACGCGTGTGTGTGTGCACGTGTGTGTTCGCACGCATGTGTGTGCGCACGCGTGTGTGTGTGTGCGTGTGTGTCTCTGTGTGTGTGCGTGCGTGTGTGTCTGTGTGTGCGTGTGTGTCTCTGTGTGTCTCTGTGTGTGTGCGCGCGCAAGTGTTTGTGTGTGCGCGTGTGTAAGCACGCGTGTGTGTGTGTGTGTGCACGTGTGTGTTCGCACGCATGTGTGTGTGCGCGCGCGCGCGCGTGTGTGTGTGTGTGTGTGTGTGTGTGTGTGTGTGAAAAAGGGGACAAGGGACACCAGGCCGCAAGCGCCATGATTTGAAGCGACAAGCGAAAAGCTGATGTCGACAATTTTTACCAGTGGTCCAGTGTGTACAGTAATTCACTAAAACGTGATGCAATGCGTTTAACTGTACGAGTAGCGGGTGCTGAAAAGTCCTCGGCCCAGCCGACTTCCAATATTCCGACCAAATTAACCAACATTCAGTTTTTTATTTTTATTTTTGTTTTATTTTTATTTTTTTATTTTATTTTATTTTATTTATTGTGAAAAATTTCTTGTCAGGTCCCGAATTTTTTTTTTTTTTATCACCTCCACACCGCGGTAGGGTCTAAAAGTTGGTGATTGCTTCATCTCTTCTTTTCTTCATAACAAATCAGAGGAAAAGAAAGAAAAACAAGGAAGCAAGCAGACTAACAGATAGGTAGATAGATAGAGAGAGAGAGAGAGAGAGAGATTAACAGATTCTGAGAAAGAAAGAAAGAAAGAAAGAAAGAAAGAAAGAAAGAAAGAAAGAAAGAAAGAATTAATCAAGTAGACTAAGATAGATAGATAGATAGATAGATAGATAGATAGATAGATAGATAGATAGATAGATAGGGATGATTTGAGGAGAAAGAAAGAAAGAAAGAAAGAAAGAAAGAAAGAAAGAAAGAAAGAAAAAAGAAAGAAAGAAAAAAGAATTAATCAAGTAGACTAAGATAGATAGATAGATAGATAGATAGATAGATAGATAGATAGATAGATAGATAGATAGATTTAAGGAGAAAGAAAGAAAGAAAGAAAGAAAGAAAGAAAGAAAGAAAGAAAGAAAGAAAGAAAGAAAGAAAGAGAAATAAAAAGCTGATCTGGAGATAAAGAAAGAAAAAAGAAAGAAAAGCTGAATAAAAAGAAAGCAACAGAAAGAAAGAAAGAAAGAAAGAAAGAAAGAAAGAAAGAAAGAAAGAAAGAAAGAAAGAAAGAAAACTTGAATAAAAAGAAAGAGAAATAAAAGGTGAAAAGAGAATGTGGATAGAAAGAAAAAAAAAGAAGAAAAGTTGGATAAATAAAAACAAAAAAAAACAAAACTAAACTAAAGAAAATGGACGAGATTCGCAGTTTTGAAGAAAATAAATTGACCAATTGTTTAAAACAGACACAAAACAAAACAAAAAGGATTCGTAAATTGGGTCCCACATTTCTCCGCCAATATTTCTAATGACGATCTTATTAACCGCAAACAATATTAAACAAACTAAAAAACATCTAAGTATGTAAACAATATATTTCCATTTAAAAAGAACATTTTTAGTACAAAAAAAGGTGTGTTCTAACCCCCTTAGTAACTCCCAAATTACACCTTTGCATATAATTACCCCCACTTTGGGAATCCCTACTCTCAGGTAAAAAAAAAAAAAAAAAAATGGACATAAAAACCGGTAGTGTAAAAAATGTAACGTGTCGATCGGTCACAATTTCGAGACTGAAGCCGGGTTTAGCAAAAGCCGGTCGGTAAAACTCGTTCTGGGACAATGGCGTTTTTTTACTTCTTTTTTTTTTTTTTGTGTGTGCCGCTTTTGTAGTAAACGAATGACGTTCACAAGTTCAGACCCCGACAGAACACGTGTTTCAGAGGGTAACAATGGAGGCACGCCGTTCGCTTCGGAGAAAGACAAAGAACTGTCGCGTGTCACACAGCCGCTTCCCCCATCTCTCTCTCTATATATATATATATCTCTCTCTTTCTCTCTCCCCAATCGCCAACAAGACAGAAGGGGAGATTAAGCAGGGAGAAGACACCCTAGAAGAGTAAAAAAGCCGTAGTGGCGGTGAGGGTATATAGATCCATCGGGAGAGCGAGAGAAATGACGGAGGGGACTTATAAAGGGAGCGAGGATGAGTAGGGGTGGAGCTATGACAGCAGCAGCAGCGGATTGAAGCGGTAAATTGATATTGGCAGGAGGAGAGAAGGAGCAAGTGCACACGAGAGAGAGAGAGAGAGAGAGAGAGAAGCCAAGCCGAGATAGACACACAACGAAGACGCACTGTGACACGGCAGGAGGAGAGACCTTAAACGTTATATATGTAAATGAGGTATAAACCTGCGTCATATAAAGGGGACTTCTGTTTCTGTCGGGGAGTCACAATTTGAGCAGACCTCAAGACCACCCGGCCTCGTCGGGTGTATGTGCAATTTTTGTTGTTGTTGTTGAATGAAGACCCCCTTCTTTTTTTTTTTTTCTTTTTTTCTTTCTTGACGCCTTCTTTCACGGAAACGCATGGACTTACCTTATTCGTTACATAGGTATGCAAGAAACATGTTTTGTTTTCATTTTTAAAGACTTCTTTTTTTTAGAAAAGGAAGAAAGAAATGTCTTTAATATAACAACTGTCTGATTTATCGACTCGTGCTTCAAGACACCTGAAAGACAAACAAAAACAAAAAGAGGAGCTGGCAAATTCCTGGCAAACAAAATCGGACGATTGCAAAGGATTTTATATACACACGCACTGACATACTTAAATCCAGAAATAAGTAACAATACACAAACACATTATTTGAAAAAAAACAAAAAGAAAGAAAGAAAAAAAGAAAAAACGTCTAGCTGTTGTTTTCATCAGTAACAGAATTTAATTTGACTTGAAATTTTTCCAAATTTTCTTTTTAAATTTATTTATTGAAAACATTGTCGTTCTTTCTCTCTCTCCAAAAATCTTTATTTACACTTCGTCATAAAGAAAAATAAAGCCTGAAAACAAACTAAAAAAAAAAAACGCAACAAAACACGCTGTTACTATTTTCTCAACACCGTTTAAGATTATTTCACGAACTATTTTTGTTGACAACAATCATAAAAACAACAAAAAATAAGAAACCTGCATAAAAAAAACAACAAACAAACAAAAAACACACACAAAAAAAACTTTCCTATTTATTAAAATCATATTTATTTAATTTATTGATAACAAACAAAGAAATTAAAGTCATTCCAGAAGACTGCCGACCCAAGACAGTATCTAAAAATTCTTTACATTGTCTTCATATAATAAGCATTCATCATCTTTTTTTTTTATTATCGGTCTCTTGTCAATTTGTTCTTGGTTTTGGAGAGTTATTCTTCTCTTTGAACTTTGACACAATTACTTTCAAAATCGAATTCGGACCATCTGATGCTGACGACCAATAATATACAGACCTCAAATAACATCAGTGTCTCGTTTTTTTAGTTGTTATGAACATTCTCTAGATATTTCAGCATATGCCTAGGTCAGCTGCTGCTATTTCTAAGATAAACGCCAACCATAACACTTCCTGACGAAAATACTGCCGTTCTGCAGGCTTCTCTCCCCAGCCCAAGCCAAAAAAAAAAAAAAATAATAAGCTATTTAAATAACGGGTATTAATAATTTCATACATCATTTATTCAGGGATATTTAAAAAAAAAAAAAAAGTTTTCTAATTTAGCCGTTTTTAATATTATATTGCTTTATTTTACTTGTGATTGGAAAAAAAATCCCAACAGATAAACAATTAAAAAAAACAAACAAACAAAAAAACAATTTGAGTGAATCCCGGTTAAGTTAAAATTCAAAACAAAAGGCTAAAATTTAATAATTTAATTTTAAAAAAAAATAGAATTAAATTTTATTTAAAAAAAAAAAAAGAAAAAAAACAGACACGGATTGATTTCACAAACAAACATTTTTCAGTGAATTCCACGGAAAAAAAATATATATATACGAAAAAAAGATTGGAATTAATACACAGATTTTTCTACTGTAAACAATAACTGTCGTTGAGTCAAGACAGTTAAGCAAGCGATGGACCTGCTCTGTACTTAGATGGGTAACTACTTAGAAACAGCAACTATTGCACACAACCAGAAACCTGCGCAGCATCAGCCTAAGCCACGCTTAATAAATAAACACACACGCGCTGAGAACGCTAAAAGCAAAACGGTTTTGTGACGTTCGTCCTGACAGCATCTCTTTCCTTGCAACAATATCCACATTCCGACCTCACGACACCGGCCTCGGAATCTCCATTCTCCATTAACTGACTGTAAATCTCACAAGAAGCACACAGTCGAACGGAAGAATTTTACATTACGATTTGGCAACGGTATCTAAAGAAAATTCTCTACAAAAGCTTTTTTTTCTTTATTTTAAAAAATTTTTTTTTTACATTTTGAAGCAATTTCTCTTCTTTTAAACGTCTTTTAATTATTTTATTGCCATTATTATTTTTAAAAATTGTATTGTTTTGTAAAGATTTTTTTTTATTGTCACCAAATTATTTTAAATCATTATTTACATCTCCTTTTTTTTTTACATGTTTTAAATATTTTTTTTTTTCTTTTTGGCCTTTTTTCTTGGCTGTCTTTATTGTAATTTGCAAACACTTTTGGTATGTTGAGTTGAAACACGAATCATTGCAAATCTGAGAAGAAAAAAAAAACAACCTGAAGTCTACAGTTGCATCTAAATGCTGTTCACAGTGACAAAATACAGTTTTACCATAACAAACGATTCCAACTAATTGCTTCAAGACATTTCGTCCAGCCGAACCAAAATTCTAACATCATTCGTCAGGAGACTAAAGCAAGAACTACAACCACGCTGGCCTTAAAACAAACAAACAAAAAATCAAACAAAAAAAAACAAACAAACAAACAAAAAACATATATTTATCTACAGTAAAAAAATATATAATATAATACATATAAATATATTTATTTATTTTATTTATATACTTCGCTGTCTTCATTTGCAATTACTTATACATACACACACACACACATCTATATATATATATATCCAAACTATATATCCATTATATTTATCTAACTGTCTGTGTTTGTATGTCCTAGTGTTGTTAATTTTTTAAAACAAAAATCAGTTTGCTTGCCGACTAAATGGTTCATTGATTATATATATATATTTATTTAAAAAACCGTTTAATTATATATAATATATTTATATATATATATATATATATATATATATATATACATATATATTTATATCTATATATAAAGACAGACATATCAATATTATCCGTGCCTATATATATATATATCAATTATATTTACAGTTGTTGTTTTTTTTACTAAGAATAAAACCTCATTACTGGGGCATCTTGAGCGAATTCATTTCACGACACTTGGCAAATTCATTTGCTAGTATATTTTGCTTAAATTGCGCCACGGTAGGCGCCCCTTGCTAATTATTTATATGTACACACATATATATGTTGGTTTGACAGGCCTTGTGCACACACACTTTGCTGTAAGACTAAAACTAACAAAGGAAAATCTTGTTTGCTAATAACGGCCATCTAGCAAAATGCCGCGCGGATTTCTTGTGAAACGGACTAAAAATGCTGCCGCATTTTCATATAGGATACGGAATTCCGATGACAGCGATTCCGACCACGAACACATTCAGACAAATTTTGGTTCGCCTGATTCGGGATATTCCCCAAGTCCCATCTCATTAACACCAAGAGAACGCGACCTGCATGCTTTCGACAGAGACCCTTCCAATCCTAACACGACGCTTTCGTCTTCGCCGCTGTCCAACTATCCGTCCCCACACTATTTCTATGCCTTCGACCGGCTCAGCGTCTCCAGCTGTTCACCCGTCAACCTCACCCCGATGAAAAATGAACCCAACACGACAGCCTTGTCCAGCCCCAACAAGCGCAGGGGCCCCGCCGAAGCTGAGAAGAAAGTAAAAACGCCCAAAAAGCCCAAAGCCTGCCGAAAGATCAATTTCGACGAAGACAAGACGTCGCCAGTTTCTGGAACGATAATAAAAGACGTCTCCGACACAGAAGACGAGGGTCAGGTGGTGTGCGGCGACATCGACAGCGCTTTTAACTACGTGGAAATAACGCCTGAGGCGAAGGCAGAACTTGACAAAATCGAGAACAAGATCGGCGATTATGTCTGTCAGCTATGCAAGGAATATTTCGATGACGCCTTCCAACTTGCCAGACATCGCTGTTCCAGAATTGTTCACGTCGAATACCGATGTCCCGAGTGCGACAAAGTGTTCAACTGTCCCGCTAATCTGGCCTCGCACCGGCGCTGGCACAAGCCTAAGAACACACCCGAAAAAAAACCGGCCCCGTCTCACATCCTACCGGCAAATGTCTGTTCGATTAGCCTCAACGGCGGAAATACAAACAGAGAGCCCATGGACGAATCCAGTGACAAATGCGACAGCCCACGGGAAATGATCTCTTCGCCGCCGGAGTCGCCCGATTATCAGGTGTCAAACCAGCAACAGCACAACCAGTTTTTTGGTTCCACGTCTTCGTCCTCGTCAAACTCCTCGTCGCCGGCGTCGTCCGAATGTCTGAACAACGCCGAAGAGGGACAGTTCGAGTGCGAGATCTGCTTTAAGCGATTCCGTCGTCAAGCCTATCTGAAAAAGCACATTCTGAACCACAACAATGACAGGGCTAAACAGCAACAACAGCTGCAGAACCAACCTACAGTGCTAAACCACACCCAGGACAGCGGGCCCGAGTCTCCGCAAAACTACCTACTACCCCACCGTCAACAGATTCAAAACCAACTCCAACACTTGAACTCCCACACGACAGACCCCAACGGCAACAAGGAGCCGATCGTCGTCGTCAGTCACAGTAACACGATGTCAGCGGCGGGCAATGTGGGCAACAATGGCAGTACCGGCAATGGTGTTTCGGGAACTGCTAACGGCAGTAACCTTGTTCTGTCATGTGACCAGTGTAACAGTTCATTTACAACCAAAACAGCTCTGGAGAAACACGCCCGTACACATACGGGTGAGGTGTTTAATTGTAAATATTGCTCAAGCCGTTTCTATAGTTCCCCTGGTCTCACCAGACACATTAACAAATGTCATCCCTCCGAAAACAGACAGGTGATTCTTTTGCAACTAACACCCGTCAACAGAACCTGTTAAAAACCTAAGGTTTTGACTAGTTTTCCTTTCATTTATTTATATATATATTTTTTTTTTACTTTTTTTTTTATCTCATAATTCAGGTCGTTTTATATATTCTGCTGTCGTTATATATAAAAAAAAATAAAATAAAATAAAAACAGCTGGAAAATAACCAACAATATTTCAATGAGATTTGAATTTGAGTTCCATTTTTTTAAGGAGCCTATCTCGCTGGGACGGCGCTTTGCTAATTAAGTTACTTAAGGTAACCGTTCTGTGAGTGCAGCCTAAATCTCAAAAGACGTCAGATGGTTGTTCTTTCAAGGCCTAATCGGTAAAATGCTGTACCAATCATCTGATCGGTACAAATTATCTTCTAAAGTCCAACACAAGACGGAAGCTAAACATTTATTTCTTATCTATAACGATTAATTAATGGTCGTAGAGTGTAAAACGACCTGAACTCTCTAAAAAGCAACAAATATAAGATCAAAAGAAATGCAGTTCAAGATGGCAATGCTTCATCTAAGAAATTCAGACAGCCTAAGACTTTCCAGTTTTTTGTTAAACGAACAAAATAGCAACAACTTTTTAAAACAAATACTTCAAGACACACGCACATACACACACGCAAAGTGGTTAGAATTTATTTGACAAGCAAAAATATTTCTTTTCAAAACGTGAATTTTTTTTTTTTATTGTTTAAAGAATGTTTACTTAAAGTGTTTGTTTCTAGGGGGAGGGGTGAATGTTTCTCCATTGAAAATTTTGTTTCTTCTTTTTTCTTGTCGGAAGAAATAAAAAAAAATAAAAATAACGAAAGGAGAGTGCTGTCAAATAGTTGGATGGCATGTGGAAAAAAAATAAAAAAGAAGATCCCCATCATTAAAACTAATAATAATAATAATAATAATAATAATAATAATAATAATAATAATAATAATAAACAAACAAACAAACAAAAAGAACGAGAAAATATCAATCCCTTTATCAGTCGAGGTAAAAAAAAAAAATAATGACAAGGCGTCATTTAGACAGCCAGGACACAGACACGCAATAAATTTTCGAACCGGAGTTCCATACCAAAATATTATTTTTCAAAAATACTACAAATATTTGTCGGAAAGCATTCGTTCTACAACTCATACCTGAAATGGACAATATATATATATATATATATATATATATATATATATATATATATATATTATTAATTGCAATTTTAAAATAAAGGACATTCTATATACTTTTCTTGAACAATAAAGTTTCTTTTCCTGCCTGAAAACCTGGATATTTCTAAACACACGGGACTTTATACGTACCGCCCCACACCCGACCAAAATAACTGTGGGGACCTTACACCAAGGAGGACATCTATAAATAGCCAACCAAATCTACTGATATATATAAACTGTCTTCTAACATTCCACAACTAAAACTGAAATCACAAATATTGACCTCTATGAAAACAATGAGAAAAAGACATTTTTTTTAATTTATTTCCTTTATAAACTGGCCGCTTTATTTCACAGGCATGAACACGCAGTTGCCTATATTGTCTGCGTGAGGGGATAGTGTGTGCCTTCATACTTGGTGAGATTTTATATGTACCCACGTTTATTTGACCCCCACACGTGTACATAAGTAATTTTGGTAAGTATTGACACTTACTTACCAATATATAAAATGTATGACTATTTATATAACTCTAACTATATCAACACTACATTTGTGTGTGTGTGTGTGTGTGTGTGTGTGTGTGTGTGTGTGTGTGTGTGTGTGTGTGTGTGGATGCGCGTCTGATTCTGGTGTTTGGCAACACGCACACACGTACATGCCCGTGTGTGTGTGTGTGTGTGTGTGTGTGTCTGTGTCTGTGTCTGTGTCGGACCGTTGTAATAAATCTGGTCTATTTTAGCACATCATTATCACTAAGGCCTTATGAACATTCAGTCAAAAAAAAGACTCCTTTTATTTTTGTCATACTGACAAAATAGTCTTGTCTACACACGCACACTCAAACACGCACATATACACACACATACACGAAACATGCCTACGCACGCATGAAATTATGTATTGATGTGAATGCGTGCAAAAAAGCATTCGGTTTGTAAATGCTTCTGCTATATATATATATATATATATATATATATATATATATATATATATATATATATATACAAACACATACACAATACATACACACACACACACACATATATATATATATATATATATATATATATATATATATATATATACGTAATTACTTTTTAACTCAAATCAGTCGTCATCGTTTAATATTTTTTTTAATTTTTTCTGTTGTTCGTTGTTATTTTATTTTGTTTTTTTTTTTGCTTTTTTTTCCTGAATTTATTTTCTCCCCACACTCCACTAAATAATTTTTAGAAATGTTTACAGATAACTTTAATTGGATAACTAAATATTATTAGATCTTTTTTTAAGTTCCATTTTTAATATTAAAATTAATTTTCAAAATGAATTTTAATATTAAATATTAATTTTAATATTAAATTCTATTAGTCATTTATTAATTTTAATATTAAATATTAAATTTTAATTGTTTTTTAATATTAAAATTCTATTAGTCATTTATTAATTTTAATATTAAATATTAAATTTTAATTGTTTTTTTTAATATTAAAATACCTACAATTTAAAACAGTTTTTTACATAAATGTATATATACATAATACATATATATATACATATATATATATATATATATATATATATATATATATATATATATATATATATATATATATATATATATATATATATATAATACATATATATATATATAATACATATAAATGTATATATACATAAATTAACATAAATGTTATTTTTTCTTTTCTTATTTTTTTAAATTGTTTGTTTTGTTTTTTTTTTTAAATATTGAAATTCCAGTGTGAAATATTTGTTCAGTGCGAAAATGCTTTAATTTTTGTAACTATTTTTTTTATTATTTTATTTTATTTTTTTATGTGTTTTCTTTTCTTTTCTTTTTTTTTCCCAAAGAATCACAAATATTAAAATATTCATCCTAATTCGTCCTAAAGTTATTTTCAATTCCGATTAATTTATTTTCAACTTATTTTTTTAAAACATTTCTCTGCTAAAAATTCAATGTTGTGACTTACATTTCTTTAATAGAATCTTAGAACGACTTTGTTCAGCTTAAAAAAAAAAAAAAAAAATTAATTAATACAGATTTAAGTTCAAATTCATATGAAACAGATTTCCATAATTCAATCGCTATTTTTTTTTTATTGTAATGAAAATATATATATATATTTTTAACAAGGAAATTTAATGACCCCGACGTTTAAAAGGAGTTAAAATTATGATTTATTTTTAAAAACCCATCTTTTGTAAATAAATGAATAAATGAAATCGTCCCCTCGTTATCTAACTTAATACAAGTTTGGAAAGTTCGGCAAATTTCCCAGTACTGGCCTATGCACGTGTGTCCGCATGCGCATGCGTCAATAGGAGTCAACCATTTTTCTTTCTTTTTTTTTTCTCTATTCCGAATTCGAACAAATTCATTAATTATTATACGCTCAATAATTCCAATAAGCAATGCTTAAATAACACTGATAATGAAATAAAGATATATATTTTAGGCATGATTTATTAGGCTGTCGTCTGTTATTCAGCTGATCAAGTCCCGAGAAAGATCGTTTGACATTCGTATAAAATAATTATAAAAATAATAATCATCCTTTTCCAAAATGAAAAAAAAAATGTATTCTTCTTTTTCTTTCTTTCCTTCTTATAACTTAAAATATTTCTTCTTCTTTCTTAAATCGTCACATTTTTATCAATGTAATATTCCTCTAGACTGACAAAGTTTAGTATTTTGAAATGATTAAAAATAAGAAAATCTCTTTAGAAAAGGAAAAAAAAACTACGGAAATATCATTTCTGGCTATTCATTTGGCATATTTTAAATGGAACGGTTGTGAAAATTAACCCTAAGATATGTATTGCGAAAGATAGTTTGTTACTATAAAAAAAAAAGCATTTAATTATTTCAATGTCATTTACTTTCGTTTTTTTATAACAGACCTTCATTCAACTGCTACTAAATTTTCTTATATTGTTTTATCATCTTCATCCTGTTCACTTATGTGTATCTTTTTAGAGTTCATTTGTTTTGTATCATAATGCAAAAGAAAGTACATAATTTCCCATCTTTGCGGATTTTAAGTTTTTGTACATTTTAGAAATATCTTATGAAAATTAACTGTGACAAAAAAAAATCAGTACAACAAATTTACCAGAATTTTTAGAGTTTGTATAAATTTACAAAATCAATCGTCGAGGTTTTTAGAAAAACATACCTAGAATTTGTACTTTATAGCGTATATTTAACGAGAAAAAAAGTAACTTTTTAAGTTTGGAAATATATAGATATCTCAGTCCTTCACCCTGTTTCAATCACTCTTCATTTCTGTCTCTAGTTTCGTTTTCATCTAGAATAATTTTATTCGCCAATTATAAAAGATAAAAAGATAACGTTACCAAACTTACTGTTAGTTAGTTAGTGTCGTTAATCTATCCCAAAGCTCGTAGTAGATATTTTCGTAGATATTTACGTATATATTTAATTTGATTCTAGCTTTGCTGTTTCTTTTTTGTTTGTTTTTTTTTATTTTAATCTCATTCGAACTTCTAAAGGCCAACAAACTAATTAGCTTATTAAAATGTTTTCAGATATTTGTATCTATCAAGAAACAGAAGAAACATTTTACTGAGTGAAAAATTTATATATATATATATATAAAAAAACAGGAACGCAATAGTATATAAGTATCTTGGATTGAAGAATATTTTTAAGTCATTCGATGTAAGATTGAGCTCATAGCTTCGACAATGAAATTCTGGCCCGTTTATTAAAAAGTTTCTTTTTTTTAAAATACACTTTTTCTATAGTTAGACCCACCTCTCTCTCTCTCTCTCTCTCTCTCTCTCTCTCTCTCTCTTTTTCCCTCTCTCTTTCCCTCTCTCTCGCTTTCCTCCTGACTGGCTCTTATGCTAAAGTGTTTCCGCAAAACTCCGAACTCCGGGGAAGTGTATTTTAGACCATATAAGGAAGAGAGTGAATGCATGACGTAATTCAACCACTGCCTGACGCATGAGCACGCGCATGCGCGCGCGCACACGCACAAACACGCACTGAGCATCACAAAACGTACTCGCCTGATACGTCCCAACCCTAGCATACCTCGTCTCCTAACACGTGGTCCCATTAAAAAAGAAAAATTCTTATTTAAAACAAAAAAATTTTTAAAAAAATCCTTCTTTAAAATTTAAAAAAAAAAGAAGGAAATTTACCCAAACGAATTTTGAGTAAACAAGAATTATATTTCATTTATCGGAGAATTATAATTTTTTAATTTATTTATTTTATTTTATTTTTCATAGATATTTTCAAATGACGAAACGACAGTTTTCTGTAAGCATTTTTTCGTTATCAAATAATTTAATGACCCCTATAACTCTTGGTGTAGCAATAGCTAATAAGCGTTTCCTACATATGGCACCTCGACGTGGTGTAATGGTTAGAAAGCTTGTCTTGCTAGATCAACTAATTGGTGCCCCATATTTTCGGCCTTGTGCCACAGCTAAGCCGAGCTTAGAAAATCATTATATTATTATAGCGAATATTGTCTCTACCTATTCCTCGTCCAAGGCGCCACAGCAGGTCTGAGAAGGAGGTCAAGAGTCCCCAGAGAATTTATAAACTAAAGACTTGGCCTTCTCAGTCAATGACGGCACTATTATTAAGCTAAGCTTAATTTGTCTGAAACGTGTTATTACTACCATTAGTTTTCAAAATAAATAAAAACCCAAAAAAAAAAAAAGAAAGCTTGATGTTCTTTTTTTATTTTTATATTTTTACCGAAACAATTATTTCTAAAACTTTTAGATAAGTCTTATATTTTTAATACTTTAAACGTTATTTTTAGCGGATACCCGTATTTGAAATAGACGCCCCGTTTTTTATTTTAAACCGTGGGTATGACGTCTATCGACCTGCGCACTAGAGAGATATTAATAAAGAAAACGTGTTCTCCGGCCGTGTTCCAAATAATGGCGAATTAAAAACAAATCCATTTAGAAATACGCAGAAAAAAAAAGGAATTCATGATCACGTAATCCATTGGGATCGTAAACAGAACTACACTCTGTGGAGGTGTTTCTTAGGCAAGACAGCCTGACGGAGTTTTAACACTCTCCAGGTTGGTTTTGAATTCAGAGATTTTCATTCTCCTAGACCGGTTACCAGTCAAGGCTGAGAAAGGGAAAGAAATGGAGGTGAATTCATACCTTTCCCTTACGTGTTAATGTCTTTGTATTTAACACGTAATGTCAGGGACACGCTTGGAATTCGAACTCAGCTCTCCGTTTCACCATTCCGAGCCGCTAACCGTGCCTCCATTGTGTTGTGCTTTGCTTTGTTTTGTGTGTGTGTGTTTTATTTATTTATTCTTTTTTAAAGTTTCATTTTAAAGGGTTAAAATAAGATGAAAAAAAAAAAGAAAAAATGAAACCAAGAATCTTTAAAACTTAACTTCTGATTTAGTCTACCGTGCTGCATTTTATTTTGTGGCATCCTGCTTGCTGGGACCCTCACCCTAGCGTCCCTCCTGTCACTACCGTGGGACATTGTGACAGCATTAGTACCGTGGGTTATTCAAACATTCTATTTAAAATATTATAGATTTCTCAGATCGTCTGATTTTCTTAAATTTTTCCTGTTATACGTCGACGATTCTTTCTGGATAGAATAAATTTTTATAAAAAGATTTCTTATAAAAAAAAAAGCTTTTATTCTAAAATTTAAATTTCTTTTTTTTTTTTAAAAAAAAAAAAAGGTTATATTTTTTAAAAAGAATCGAATTAAAGTTCCAATGTTTAAAAAAAAAACAACATAATTTCTAAGTACAAATATTTAAAAATAGGTTTAAATTCATTTTCAAGAAAATTCCTCTTTCAAAAGCAGGCGGTATCTTTCCTCAGGGAGCAACACAATATTATTTTCCCATATTAATACTCGCCAGGCCTTGTCCTGTACTAAAACTAGTTAACTAGGTAAAATAATTAAATATGTGTTCGTACTGAAATTTTCTCTGCCGACTGGGAATCCGTCCTCCAGACAGTACCTCCCTATTGCACTCAGAGTTACGGTCAGGGTTACACTTCCCTGTTTTCGTCAGAGATTGAGAAACCGATATATATTTTATGTAACTCCTCAACAGAAACAGATTCACGTACTACTTTGAAGTGAAGGGTACTGCGTATTTTTTTTTTTTCACTGACGCCAGTATTTGGTGTTCGATCCAAAGAGTCTCAATACTTCTTATCTCTTTTTACTATTATTTCAGTAATACAGGGTTATTTATCGAGCCAGAGACCTCCTTTCAAATTAACGATACATTTATGAAAAATCTGATTTTATTCCAATTAAAAATGATCATTATTCAATGGACATATTCCTTTCTTCAAAAGAAAAGATATTCTTATGCAAATCAATGAAGCCGTTGAATTTATTCTTATGCAAATCAATGAATACGAGAATTTAAAGTAACGAGGTCATTAAGAAATCGAATAAAGTCTTGCGTCATAGTGGCTTCATTGCCTTGCTTAGAGCGATTAGCAGAAAAGTTTGCTTTCAAAGAAATTAACGCCTCTTCTGTTGGGATTAACTTTGAACTGTAGGATGGCGCAAAATAAAAAAAAACTGACATTTTCTTGTAAATACGCTGAGAATAATTCTTCATATAATTCAAACTGAAGAACGACTACATTATTTTAAATAAGAGTATTTTTTTTATTTTTAGTGAAGGTGTCTTTATGATGAATAAAAAAATCCGTTCAAGGATTAATTGTCATTTTAGCTTGGGTCGCGGTTACTTCTTTTGGAAAAAAATTATTTTTAACTTGAAGTGAGGTGTATGGTTTAGTGAACAACTCTCTAAGAAAAAATGATTTATTTATTTGATACTTACCAAATTAATTTAAATGTATAAATATTGAAGCATTTCTAATGTATATGTTAATATCTATATTTTCATAAGTTCAAATATTCATATATATATATATATATATATATATATATATATATATATATATATATATATATATATATTTCGTGAGCGTTTAATGCATAAACACTAAACATTATTATTTGAAAGCCAATGAAATAATTTAATAATACCTGGATAATCTTAAAAAGCTTATTCTTACGATAGATTTTACACGCACACACACATTATATATATATATATATATATATATATATATATATATCAATTCATTCAATAAAACAAATCATATTCATATACAGGTTCGGGGTTGATGTATCTTTTTTGATATTGTTTGCGAAGATGTATTCTCGCCATTTAAATCATTAACCTCTCTATTTGTTTTATTGTATGAATGATTCATGAATTTATAAATTATGAATGCACCTATAATTTGATATATATATATATATATATATATATATATATATATATATATATATATATATATATTACTATAAGCGCTACATTTAGTGGGTGTGTAACATTTATATCCACACCTCCGCGACTTGATCGTAAAATCAATTATCAAGTCTCCACAAGACTTGATGTAAAATTCACGAAACTCTGAGTACCTACGAGATAAGTGAACATCTAATTCTGTTTATTGCAATTAATACGCTATCACTTGATATTCAGCGTTATAATTACAAGGACTGTTTGACTTAAGAATCTTACATTTCCAGAAATGCCCTACCATTTTTATTTGCGCGAAATACAATCTGATATATATTTGTCCTGTAATAGTTTTACATTTAGTGTAAGAATGTGAATGCAAACATTTAGTGTAAGAATGTGAATGCAAATGAACACTGCTTGGTCTATTTAACACCGTGTAGTGAGATCAATTTTAAATTAGTACCCTGAACAAAATTCATCATTAAATTCGTCAACACTTTTAATTTACACAGTCTCACACACACATAATTTTATACAAGGGAACAGGTAACCTTCCTGTACGACAGTTCTACACAGTAATCTGCACAGCTTAGCACAACGTTTCCTGATATTTTTAAATGAAGATTATGACACTTTAAAATCAGTGGACATTTCGTCATATATATTTGATGATTTTATTTCTAGAATTCATTCTCAGATTAATGATTCAATCGAGAAAACATTTCATCGCGAATGAGTTTAATTATCTTTCAGGTGGTAAATAAAACATCGCTAACAACAAAGCAAGGGTAATATAGTAACAATACGAATTAGAATCCTATGAAACTTTATCTGCCTCATTCACCTTCAGTACTGATTGATGTTTATTATTTGCCGAAATTATTACGCCTCATCCAATCAAATTCCACTTTTGCCGTCATTATTATTTTTTTAATGTTCCATATTGTTCATCCAACCAACCACGTCCCCCCACCCCTGCCCTTTCACTTATTTATTTTTATCGTTTCGCAAAGCCCTGTTGTTTATTTCTATCTGCTTTTTTTTTTCTGTGTTTTGTCTGACCTCGGTGTGAACATTGCCCAACTCATTTTAGTTTATCGATCATCATATAAATAAAATGTGTTTTCTTTATCATTATTATTATTATTACTATTATTATTATTATTATTATTCATTCGCAATCGTCTAAATGCAGAAGTTCATCGACAAATAACATGTAACGTCTGAAGTCGAAAGAATTGCAACTATGTCTAGGTCAGCCTTAGCTTGATTTACAACAGTAACTTAATAAGTTACCGTATTTTTTTGCGGGAGTGGGAGGTGAATATAAGACGCACCAGTGTATAAGAATATGTACAGGGTCCCTTCACGATGTAGACGATCATGGCTCTCCACAATTTCCTGTCCTTTGTAGCTCTTAGTAAATTTTGTCTTTTTGTTATCTCACTTAAACCTCATTCCACCAGCCATTTACACAAGTTTGTCCTTCTTCTTCTATGTACTAGGTCCCTTCAGGATGTAGGCGATCATGGCTCT